TAGCACTATCCCACATCTGGCGGAGCGGAGGGGCCAGGTAATACCAAACACATGTGTCGACCTGGGGATAGAAATAGCTTCCTGTGCAATGAACACTACCCTCTGGGTGAACTGTGCAGGCATAATGCTCTACACCTAATTTACCCCCAAAAACTATAATCATACCGGAGAACATAACAGACTGCAATCAGCAGGTAGTTGTTTGATTTATTGTGCACTTTAATGCACTGCCCTCTGTACTTCAACATGAATCAGTATCTGTAATCGGAAGCATGTGTGCCATTTCATTAAGAATATAAATAACAATTAAAGGCAAGCCCAAATGAACAGAACCCATAATACCCCCAATATATTTTCAAGGCGTACCGATTATAATATGTATATTTCGATTTAAAGCTTTTGTGACTGCAGGGATTCATCTTCTTGTTTTTTTTGGTAAAGTCAGGTAGAAGGGAATAATATGTATATTTAAAATGTACAATTATATGTAAAGACTTAGGGCTGTGCTAGCAGAAGTACTGTTTACATAAACTTAGAACTAATGCTCACTGTTAAGCTGGAAACAATATATTGTGGCAATTTAGCCAATTGTTACGTCATAGGTTTATTTCTACCGTGTACATATGTATATACATGAAATACGCATTTTATCATGTGCCCATTGAAACTACTTAATGGTACGGTATTTGTAAAGTGGAACAACTAATTGTGACATGCCTATTTATCGTGCCGGGTAGACAGGCGACTGGGATGTTTCAACTCCCGCGCCGGGAAATGGGTTAGAACCGATGATGGTTCCAGATTGTAAGTCCAATGCGCTAGCCATGCCTTAACGACAAGTTCCCGTTCAAAGTTGGTATGTATGAAATATTCAAAGCCTGCAGTCAGTACATTGCCATCTGTTTTTTTTTTTTTACCAAATTGTGCTTTACTTTGGCACACGCCCATCCACCGAGGCCAGGATAATTATTCGGGCCGTAATTTAGTGCTGCAGGGGTGAGGATAAGGATCCAATCCAGTTAAATGCAAAAGGCCTTTTGGGCAACTTCCAGGCAGCACTAATCTCGTGCTGTAGTAAAAACTACGAATGCTCTGAAGAATATTGCCGTCGCCAATCGCAACTAGTTTCGGTGCCCCATGGGGCATGGTAATGGATGTGTTAATGGATGCACCATAAACATTTATGGGAAACAGGAGATGGTTAGGGTTAGGGACAGAGGTAGGATTACTGAATGGCTGCAGCATTTTCTCAGAGCGGCAGTATTTCGCACACCCATTGCCTCCAACCGCATGATAGTTTTCCATCCATTTATACTGCACCTTGTATCTAATTTTTTCTCTTATCCTTCTGTACAAAAATGATGTGTCTGAGGATAAGAATTTGTATGTATTCACTGCTGAAATGCAGCAGCATCTCAAAACAACTTACAAATATATGGAAACATACAAAACATAATTGGGCATTAAGTTAGTCCGTTTGTTCCAAAAACGTTACCTTTTTTAAGGGAGCCATTATGGTAATTATTGCAAACACGGGGAGGGGGGATGTTTTGTCCATTGGTCTGGCCATAGACGACACCGATATTTCCACGATAACTACAAAACCCTAAACCAATCGCCACACAAAAGTTTACCACAGCTTACCAGCAACGCTAATGCCCTGGGAAACATTGGCTCAAAAACAAGCAAAACAACTTCATAGTGCTGCCTGTACATGGGGGGGGGGCAGGGAGCAAAGAATGGGCGGTGGGGGGGCGCAAAAGAGAGTATGGATGACGCACGTAAATGGCACGTGTGTGCAGGAGAGGTTGCAGCACCTGCGTAGAGTGGGCGGGGGGGGGGGGTGCCGGAAGGGGGCTGAGGAGTGGCATGCGCTGCTAGCGTGCTGGCGGGCAAGAGTGCAGGGGGAGGAGGGGGCAGGAGGAAGAGGGGCATGCCCCCACTCTCAAACCCCGTCTACTATTTAATCACTATCTTTTTGGTTTCAGAAGCGACCTGGCCACAAATGATAGCTCGACAAAGTGGCTTATCACGTGGGGAATTATAGCAGCCGGAATACTCTAAATGTGGAGGGGATAAAACTGGGGGAACCAGAGAAAAATCCACGCGACAGGCGTCAGGGTTGGGATCTAACACAGAACCTCCTTGCATACCAGGCAAGGGAGTTAACATCTCACCACCTACTCCTTCAGAAGCAGTTCTGTGATATTTCCTTCCACAGACCGTTCTTTGACCTGATGGTGGGGTGATGGACAATTGGGATGAAATTGGGGGTGGGGGAGACAACAATCGGCCGTGATTAATCCACTGCTGGAAGGATTAAGGCCTGCACATGCCTTCGCCCTCGTGGCTCCTCGATGCAAAACTCATCATGCGCTGTAATTTGATATTCTTACCTAGAATGCTTCTCAACAGCAGATTGATTGACCCAATAATTCAGCCTCTGCTGCTGTACCCTTGCTTGTAGAGACCCTGCTATTGAATTAAATGCACACATAAACTATTGTCATCATGTTGTTTTCTCTTTACTCATTTTACTCTTCCAAAATGTATGGAAATGTTTAATATCCAATGCACCGCCAGTCAAAAAAGTCCAAAGTGCACCTTCAAAAACGCCATGGGAAGTATTAATCTCCATCAGTTTCCCTGAGGCGATGGTGGAAAATCCACATTCACGTGACGGTGGCCAGTCTCTCCATGCCACGGCAGCTGTTAACTTCCCACAAAGAGACGATCCCAGAGGGATAACTACTGAGATTACTCATGACCGTGATTTGTATTCCTAACTTTCTGATTGTGAGCCAATGGATGTAATTGCTGTGCCACCAGGCTGGATACAAATTTAATGGACAGAGCAGTTTCATATTTTATGCTGCCAGTTTTTTTGTTCTGCCATAAATTAATATCTGTTTTTTCTCAACTCTCCATAAGGTCACAACCCTTTCATACCATAATCATAATGAGGAGGCATGGCCATAATAACTTGATTATTCCATATGGTTGGAATAAAAAAAGAGGGCTATTTTTTTGCAAGCCTGGGGTCCAGATGCTTCGTACGTACCCCAGAGCACACAAAGAAAGAGTGGTGGGTGGGTGGGAGAGAGTCTGCAGTGGGCTGGGAGAGAGAGCGAAGGAAGTGGCCAGGGGAGTTGGCGTTTTGAAGACAAGGCAGGGCAATGGCTAAATCAGGACTTCCGGAGAATTAGGCCACCATATTTGTGGTCACAACGCAACTGGATTTCACCCAAAAATGTCAATGTTTGGGTGATGGATACACATGTGCAAGGCAATTTGTTGACTCAAATTGTATCTGGAATGGTCGTCTGTGGTTTTGAGAGTGCTTAAGTCACATTTGGAGGATTTTAAGTTGATGTCTTTGTATGGGAGGTTGACTGAGCTGCTCATTCTTCTGAGGTTGAAGTAAGCAATCAGTGATTGCTCTATAGAGAAACAATATCGGAATATGGAATGTCTACCATTGGCCTATGGCCATATACTGAGATCAGCACTCCGTCTTGCTTATTTAACCTGGTAGACGCTAAATTTCCATTTAAAACTTTTGTGACTGCAGGGATTAATATTCTTGGTTCTTTCGGTAAAGTCATGTAGAAGAGAAATAATAAAATAATAAAAATACAACATAATAAAATACAAATTTTCACGACGCTTTGACGTTTAACTCGTACTTAAGCTTGCTTCGGTAGGTGCAGATCACGGATGAGAGCCTCTTTGCAAGAGCATGGCTATCCTTAATATTTACTCAGTGGCACAATAAAAAAAGTTAACTTTGTACGTGCAATCTGTAAAGGAGGCTGTGTTTTCGTTGAGTACGTGTGAAGGATCGAGGGAAGCCAGGTTTACAAGCTCTGGAGTGGTGTCCAGGGGTCAGTTACCAAGTGGGAAGGCCTGCAGTCTGAAAGTGGAATCCTCGGGAGGGCAGACATGGGGTCGTGTGTCCACTGTGCAGCAGCTGCAAGGTCTACCAGAGGGAAGCGTTAGTGCGGTGATGTGTGGGCATCAATGGTATATGGGGTGCGGTGGCGCAGTGGTTGGCGTGCTGCACGACGAACCCGGCGACCCGAGTTCGATTCCTGTTCGGGGCCAGTGACGAATGTCTGAACTGGTCCTGGGCCTCCCCTAGGTAGACTCGGCCTCAAATGAGAACCTGTTACGGCGTGTAAACATCACCACTTGGGAGACAGAGGGCCAGGCGTGCTGGCCACCTCCCCGCCCCGTTTGCCGTGCCAGCCTTCATTGGTGCTCGCTCTCAGAACTTGCCCCAAAAGTCTGGTAAGGCCAAAACAGGGATCTTTTTGCGTTTGTTTGGGCATGAATGGTCTTGGTCAAGATGACCGCTTGACCTTCAGTGAGGTATTTAGCCCTTTCCCGTTCCGATGACGTACGTGTACATCATCAAAACGGAACGGGAAGAGAAACTAAAATAAAATAGCTTCATCGTTACCGACACTCCTACAAGGCCTATGCGGGAGGGCGTGGCACAGTTTGGCACGAGCTTTCATAGAGTGCGGTCGTGTCACGACAGTTCTCTGAGGTGAGTACAGTACAATGTCTGTAAAAGCAACAGCGCTGTGCTTCTTAAAATAAAATGAACGCTAACCACTTGCGCGCTCCGAGATTCAGAGATTCGGAGGTGAACGGGACCCACCCTGCAACTTGCAGACGTCTCTGAACGGAAAGGGTTAACTGCAGGACATACATCGCTGCACCTGGCAGAATGTGAGGGGATGGGTCTGCTAATTGAATTAGCGATCATTTTAATGCACATATCACACTGAACAAAAGCCAAGCTTTAAATGTTTGCGAAAACTCAGTGTTAAGAACAAGTTACGTCACGAAAAAGCCTCTGTACAAGCGTGAGATATCTTTCCAAACGACATTAAAAGCAAATATCGTGGCTTCACAAGACGTCTTGGAATGGGAAAGGGTTAATCTGCCCGTTGGTGTGCGCGCGTTTTTTGTCGATGTTTCGTTGCGAGCAGCGGTGAGGAATGACCGGAGCAAAAAGAAGAAGGAGGTGGTGCGACCGGAGTTGCTGGAAATTCCTCCGCCGTGTCCCGAGATCGAGGACCTCATTGACCGCGTGCGCCGTGCCCACCAGGAGACTTTCCCATCGCTGTGTCAGCTCGGCAAGTACACGACGGTAGGTGGACTTGGCGCCCCTGTCACTGAAACCTTCCATTGACTTGCATCCCACTGGGATATTTGCACAGGGTTGGTGTACGGTGATTTTTCTGCAATATTTTGCTGTCTTTTCTTGGATTTTCTGTTTGCACTTAGTCACTTTAAGATGTTTTCTTGTTTGTTGCGGTTGCACCTGATTCAAGAGCCGAATGGCTCACAGGGCTATACCTAATACATGAACTTTGAACTTTTGCTCAGTTGGACAATTGCAGTCCTGGTTGGCTGATCTTATTTTCTTAAATGACGTTTCGAGGATCGTTACGTTATATTTTTAGAGTCAAAAGTCAAATGATCTCCCTGATTTATACAAACAAGTGGGGCTGGTGTGAATTCCACATTGCTGTGGCAGGGCTCTGTCTCTTAGCAAGAACCACTGATGGATGCCCACATCGCAAACCTGCGTTTATCAACCCAAGGGGTAAGAGAGGCTGAGAATGCCATGACCTTTTAAACTCAACTGTGAATTATACTCTTGCACCGCGACGCACTATTCGGTGGTATGATTTGGTCAAAGAGCTGGTGTCATAGTGATTAATACTATATTGAGAATGTTACTTTAAAATAAAAGTTTAACACCAATCGGCAATAATTCTCAAGGAGCAGCAGCAAGTTTTCCGCAGAATTCGCGACACCACTCCAGGTAATGAATGAATACAACTCATTTCCTTCATCATGCCCTTGCATGTCCATGGTTCCGGCATGGGTCTGCCCTAGGTCCACCCACCCTAACGTGAGCATCTGGCATGATGTGTACATTTCAGCACTGGAAATGAAAATACATTCAGGGTTGAATGTATGAACTCTTCATTGCAAACATGCATAATAACAAGAGGAACAGGGTACCTGCTTTTTTAATGAGAAATATGTCGTTAAATAAGGATACCCTGTTGCATTTGCTTGAAAATGTCAATTTGAAAAACACAATGTGATCCAAAACATCTCGGCATATGACTATAAATAGGAAGTGTGTGTATAAAACAGACGATATTTCTGCTAAGTTTCTGCCCGTTGTGAGCACTGCCCATTGATATCATTTTACAAACCCAGGTGGCATTGACCAAACCCCTTTGACCCATTGGCATCACGTTCTGTGTTGGCTTTAATAGGTACGCTCCACCAGCACACATGTCCCTTTGCTATACAGGTCTGTCCAGCAGTCTGTCTCATTGTCACTCAACTCCAGTGCTCACTACACCCCGCGGTGCAGCCTTCCTTAATTACCAACCACACCATGTGTGCGCAATGTGTCGCGGCTTAATTTACATATTGATGGAAAAGATTAGCAATTACGTAAAGCTTGCGCGCCGTTCGAGGTCATTAGCACCGGAGTTTGGAAGAAAAAAAAAATCCCCGTCTCTCTTAACGGTTGCTGTGTGAATCTTGCGGAAACGAAGCTTCAAACACACGTGCACCTGTGCATATCTGCACATCTGACCTCCAGCAACTTTTGCCGTACGAACAAGCGGCAAAAAGATTTAGATTGCCCCGAAAAAAACATCTGAAAGGTAAAAAGAGACCGTTGCTCAATCTGGCAATTGTTTTGGTCATTATGCCCTTAATTATCAAGCCTGATTAGAGCCCCTTTATGATGCCATATGTGGGAGTACACCAAAGTAGCTGTAAAATAAAATAAAAACCCCGCACGCATGTGGGGATAGCACTCGCGTGGCCACTACAAATGGGTCCACAGCCCAGTTTCTTTATTTGTCTTCACTGTCATTTCCTGGCGACCTTCACAGCCCCAACGGTAGTGCCCCGTAGTGTCGCAGGACGGAATGAAAATCTGGATTATCCACCAAAAGCCACCTCCACACACGCACACACACCAGGGAGCAAGATTTATTCTTAAACATTAATATAACAGGACACTGTACATTACATATTAAAATATGTTAAGGTCGACTTTCTAAAAGGGAACACTCGGGAGAGTTTGGAAGGTTTTTAATGTGAATTCGGAGGAGAGTTATGAAAATAAGCTGGGACGGAGAGAAAAACAAACAATGTTACTGCTCCGTCTGTCGGGAGAAGAAAGTGAACGCATTCGATCTGTTGTTAGGAAGAGCAAGCACATCTGTACTGGGCACATAGCGAGAGGGAAAAAGGGGCTTGCTGAAGGAAGTGATTGAGGGAATATTTCTTTCGGAAAAGACCAAGAGGGAGGTGAAGAATGGCGTTGTTCGACGATGAAGGGCACGGAGGCAGATGAACAGAGCAGTGGAAGGCAGAGGAACGTGGAGGTCTAGAACTGTGCCTCGCAATTTTCTATGGACAAGAGCGCGTGACGATTGAACAATTGCTGAAATGTTCAATTATGTGAATGTGAAAATAATATACGTACAAGATGTACTATATTTTCCACAAGTACATGTAAGCTCACTTCATTATGACACGCGGAACATAACCCTCCTCGGCAAGTTAGGCGAGACTTTTTTTTTTGCTTGCCAGACCCCTAATCCATCACGGCACACTGCGCGCACGCTTGAGGGTGCAACCCCGTTCAGGACATCGTGGTCGCAAAGCAACCCACTGATTTATGAGAATCTCACTAACCAGTGTAACAAATGTACGTGTTATATAGATCAGCTAAAACAACTATCTTATAATGCTAATTGTATGAATAATACATTTCAGTGCAGAAAGACCCCACCTGCAAATTTCTCAATTGGAATTATGCATAGCGACGTCGCCTCCCCCCCCTCTCTACTGCAAAAACTTGGCAGGTCCCTGCTGAGAATGAGTGTTGAGATTCAGTGAGGCTTTCCTGGGTAAACACGTGGAATAATAAAAAAAAAACATGAAGATTTAAGCAAATGTGTTAGAGCAGCAGTGGTTCTCAAAGTGTGGTCTGCGATGGTCGGCGGGGCTGCGATGCAAATACAGGTTGATCCGGACAATAATAATGACAATGTTTACACCTTTTGTTTCGGGCATGAATTCATCCTTTTAATCATGATATTTAATTTAACAAAAAAATGTAAGTTAGGTAAACTACCCTGATTTAAACAACCCTAACCCTAAGATCTAACAAAAAACCTTATACCTGTGTTAAAAAAAAAGTTTTGAATGATCCGGCAGTTTGAATCATTTTTATATGAGTGGAATTTAGAGAGAGAGAAGTGATTGTGTTTTGTCACCAGGGAGGGAGGGGGGCTGGGTGGTCCGCGGACCAAAAAGAGGTTTGAGAAACGCCGGTGTCGGGGCAATCCTTAAGTATTTGTGAAAAGCCCGTGCCCTGAAATGATTGGTGCGTTTTTGGGAGACAGACTGTCTGGCCAAGAACTCATTAAGATATTTTCTTTCAGCACTTATGTGCATCTGTTATTGCTGTGTTTGATTCAATTTTGTAATTAAGTAAGCTGTGCTATTACAAATGCAGTGTTAACCCTTTGAAAAATGACTGCCTTGCATGATCATATAACCCAGCTGTTTTACATTATGGTGAATGTCCACATGATGTAGAGCATATTAATCAGGTTTGACCTGCCATTGGAAATGTCCGGAGGTTCAGAGCGAGTCTAATTTGGAATCCCGGCTACATTTCTGGCTTTTACTTGTATTTGCAATAAACCATCTCATTCATTATCCAGCCTCTAATTTAGCCTTTCATGAAAGGTGAAAGATTTCAAACTGTCTTCTACGTAAGTCGGCTAAAGAATACGTGTTTAATTCTTATAACCGGGGCAGGCTAGCACAGGATTACGTTCCTTTATCGTGCATGGGATGTTAGCGTAATACTTAAGTTAGTCTTAATTCCCCCAGGACATTTGTCGTGGTGATCTCAACACTTGAGTGAGTCTGAATGTATGTGTAAGAGCACGAGTGCTCTGTTTACCCATAAGTCCTGAGAGGGGGTTGATGTAACAGATAGCTGGCATCCGGAATATCCCCCCCCTCGTAGAAGACATCGCTTTTGTCCGATGCTATCGGCAAGAGTTTATCCCCGTTCGTCTCTCACGCTCATTCTCTCCGTCGTTGAGGACATCAGAGATGACCATAATTTCTTCTCTTATGAGTACTGTAACGTCTCACCCTTTTAATGTAGTTTCACAACTACGTCCTCACTTGATTAATACCACCACCTGATCTGCATTAAAAAATTGTACCATACTGTCGAGTACAGAATATTATTTACGTGCATTATTTTGGCGATTTGGAAAAATTGCTTTGATTTATGCCGTTTTCGATATTCGTGTTGATAATACAGCCCTTTGTCACTCCACTGCTGGATGACGGCCTTCCCATACCCTCGCAGTCATGGAGGTTTGGCCATACTGCACGTGGTTTAGTTTGTGTTGATGTAGCAGTCACTCTGTGAATGTAACAGAAATGGTGTCGCCACATCACGGCAGAAGCCACCTCATGCTTGTGAGACATTGTTCTGAAATATGTCACGGTAGATATGTTCAGTTTGAAGTTGGTTGTAACCCATTTATGCAGTGTAACTCCACGAGATATGTCCCTGCAGTCTGGGGACATTTTGTGATGAAAATGGACATTGGATTTGATGGCTGAAACATGTTCTGGCTGTGAATGTCACCTCAAAAACATCCACACCCATAAATCCCCTTCTCCTTTAATGCAGCACTTAGAAAAATAATCGCCTCAATGTTTACTGTACATTTCCTGCTTTAAAAGCCTACCAGTACTCAAGCAAACCTTTTGATATGTGATCGTGGCTTTGCAGCATAGAAGCAAAATCAACCTGCTATCATCGTTCATTGGACCATCTGTTGGCAAAAGCCCCTCTTCCTTCACAGCCAGCGCGCAGGCCGTGACATGTTTGCATTTGGGCATTTTATTCCCTGCGACTGCCGCGCCGTCTGATGTGTGGCTCACATTGTGGGTGTGAGCGGCATTTTCATTTTTTTGTGTTATTACTACAGGTTTGTGCCCCCCCCCCCCCCGCCGCCGGTTTGCGATCAAAAACTCCCTCTGTGGTTTTTAGTGAAGAGTTCTCCC